GCGATTTTAATATGTTTAATGTCAGTCTCTGTCATGAACTCATCGAACTCGTTTGATATGAAACAGCTTCCTCGATCTGAAATTATGCATTTAGGTTTGCTGTATGCTCTAAAATAGTCTTTTAAAGAAACGATGACCTCCCGTGTATTCGTTGTTTTTGTTGCATATAAGCCCACAAAGGCGTCAACGACTACTAATATGTGCTTCTTTGATCTTCCTGAATCAACTGGACCGTAATGATCGATGTGGATTATTTCAAATGGCTTATTTCCTTTTGGAATGGAGTGCAAAAATCCTTCTTTTCCTGTTTTAGGCGAAAACGCTACGCATTTCAAACAGTTTTCAATATGACCGGAGCATTTTTCTTTTACGTTTGGAAACCAATAGCTTTTGCCTATTATGTTCATCATTTTGTCTCTGCCTATATGTCCTATTTCGTTATGATATTTGTATAACACGTGGTCTTCCATTTCGCTTGGAACATAGAATAACAATCTTCCGTCATTACTTTTCCTATAAACTACACCATTTCTCATTTCGAAAAGCTTGTGTTCATTTTCTTCTAACTGTTGCTTGATATATCTAACTATTTGGTCCTTGGCTTGGCAAATAACTAAGTTGTCTTCAAACGTGTTTGTTTCTACAATGAGAATGTTTGTGCATCTACTTAGCGCATCTACGTGCTGCATCTTGCTGCCTTCTCTATGTCTCAACTCATAGTCATAACTTTGCAATTCTAAAGCCCATCTAGCAATACGCGGGTTAAGCTCAATTTTGTTAGTGAATTACAGTCAGTAACGATCTTGAAACGTTTGCCATATAAATATACGCGAAACCTGCGTAATGCGTTAATAATTGCCATTGTCTCCAGCTCAAAGCTGTGATATTCCGCTGCAGTTGTGCGCTTAGAAAAATAAAAGATTGGATGCAGTTTTCCGTCTTCTTTCTTTTGAAGTAGCACTGCCCTTAAACCAAGAGCCCTTGCATCAGTGCAGTGCAGCTCTATCTCGTCTCTATTATATAATTATTATATATAATATATATATATAAAAGAAAGTCGTGTTTGTTACAACACTTATAACTCGAGAACGGCTGGACCGATTGCCAAGGTTTTTGATTTGTTGGATTTGTTTCCGTCCCGAATAGCAGAATACATCTTAAAAACAATGAAAACTCGATATGTGTAATGAATAGATGCATTTCAATAGATGCTGATTTGTTTATTACACATATCGAGTTTTCATTGTTTTTCTTTCTCCATGTCAAACATTTGTTGTCCAATCCTGTCAAATAGTCAAATTCCCGAAAATTCCCGAAAATAATACCTAAGATTTATTCCACAGTAAAAACATAAAATCATCGGAAAGGAACGGAATTTAGGGAATAAAAAATCAGTTTGGTGGTTTTATGCGAGTGCACATTTTAATAACAATGCCGCGTCCTAGAAGATCTAATCTTTCCCAGCAAAGCATTAATGCAATTAGGCAACGGAATATCGCGAGTCAATTATCTGATGGAGAACGAGAAACAGCGCCGTGTTAGTATGGAGCAAAGAAGGGCCTTAATTAGTGCTTCTCAAACACAAGAGCAAAGAGAGGCAGCCCGTGAAACGGCTAGGTTAGAAAGGAGAAATCGTCGAGCTTATCGTACAGATGAACAGAGGAATAATCTTTGAAGTGCAAGAAGAAATGGTTCAAGTATTGATTTGAATCGAGCAGCGTTTCTGTATGATTGCACCATCAACTACAGCTTGCATCGTTTAGTTTGCATTGGTCCAATGGACGTTGTTTGCCAGCATTGTGGAGCATTGAAGTTTGCTGGTAAAACGTTTGGCTTGTGCTGCCTTAGTGGTAAAGTGAAATTGCCTTTATTGGTCCCGCCACCAGAGCCATTGTGCTCCCTGCTTTATGGTGAAACACTAGAATCACGACATTTTCTAGCGAACACTCAAAAATACAATGTCTGTTTCCAAATGACTTCATTTGGGGCGGAAATTATTGAAGAACACGGATATAATCCGACATTTAAGGTAATTTACGTTGAAAACTTTATTTTCTATCATTGTAAAAAAATCTGGAATGCAGTTTGTTAGATTTCTGTATTTGTCTCTGAAATAAAAATGGCATGTTATTATTTGACTTTACAGATTCAAGGCCAGATTTGCCATCGCATTGGATCATTACAACCTATAGAAGATGATCAGCATAAATTCTTGCAATCATCCCACTGTTTTACATTTGGGGGCGCATCTAGAGAACGGGCAGAGAGCATATTTCACAGCGTCGAATGCTGCTCAACGTGCCGAAACCTCCAGCGACAACACTGACCAGTTTCTTTGCGATTTGTCAAAGCTATCCGTTCGCACGAACTTTGCTTTACTCAGAAATGCCACGTTACATCGAAGAAATTTCAACGTCGGAAGCAAGGCGATGCAGTTCCTGGTCATCCAGATATGCGTTCTACTGATGCTCTTGGTCGTATTTACACAGTTCATCCGAAGAATGATGAATGTTTCTATTTGCGGTTGTTGCTGGTACATGTTCGAGGGCCAACATCATTTGAATCACTACGAACTGTTAATGGTATTGTGTGCCCCACATTTCGTGCAGCATGTCAAGAGCTAAATTTGCTTCAAACCGATACTCATTGGGACACGAAAATCGCTGAAGCAATTATTTCTGCATCTCCAAGTCAGATACGCACATTATTTGCTATCATCATTTCAACATGCTTCCCATCGAACCCACGTGACCTGTGGAACATATACAAAGATAACATGTCAGAAGATATTTTACATCGAATTCGCGTCAGCTCAAGAAATTCCGATCTTGAGGTGAATGATAAGATCCATAACCAGACTTTGCTCTTGATCGAAGATATGTGTTACCTCATGTGCGTCAGTTTGTTAGTTAGGTTAGGAATGCCAGCGCCAGATCGCGGAATGAATGACGCATTTAAAAGAGAATTGGAACGTGAACGTGAATATGATCCACATGAACTAATCCAATCAGTTCAAACGAATGTACCTCTGTTGAATCCTAAGCAGAGGGAACTCTATGATACACTGATTAATGCAATTGATGATGGAAATGGCGGCTTATTTTTTTTTGGATGCCCCCGGTGGAACTGGGAAGACATTCCTCATGTCATTGATTTTGGCCACTGTACGTGCGAGATCCGAAATTGCGGTAGCAATTGCTTCTTCTGGAATAGCGGCCACATTGTTAGACGGATGCCGTACGGCTCACTCAGCGTTAAAATTGCCATTAAACCTTCAAACCACTGAACAACCGACATGTAACATTTCGAAACACTCCGCAATGGCCAAAGTTTTAGTAGCATCAAAAATCATCATATGGGACGAATGCACGTTGGCGCATAAACGCGCATTGGAAGCACTAGACCGAACATTAAAAGATCTGCGCAATGACTCGAGATGTTTTGGTGGTGCAATGATTTTATTATCTGGCGATTTCCGACAAAACACTAAACGCTTGCCTCAAAGCATCAAATCTGTGGCGATATGTAAAGAAACTTCAACTGTCTGTAAATATGAGAGTTGCATTATTGAACGATCTATCTGCTGATGATTTCTCGAAGCAATTGCTGAGTGGCCGGGTTCCTGTTCACAAATCGAGCGGTTTGATTTCATTTCCTCCAAATTTTTGCAATTTCGTATCATTAAAAGACGAGCTTATCAACAAAGTATTCCCGGATATCATTGCTAACCATAAAAATACTAAATGGTTAAGTGAGCGAACAATTTTGGCCGCTAAAAATAAAGATGACCTCAATTTTATAATTCAAAATCAAATCGTAGGTACTCTGTATTCATTCAAATCTATCGAAGAAGAAGCCACTAATTATCAAACTGCATTTTTAAACTCCTTGGATGTGCCTGGTTTACCACCGCACAATTTAAAACTTAAAGTTGGCTCGGTAGTCATCATGCTTAGAAATTTAAACCAACCAAAACTGTGTAATGGAACGCGTTTGGTGATAAGAAAACTGATGAGCAATGTTATTCACGCGTCGATACTTAAAGGAAAATTTAAAGATGAGGAAGTTCTTATTCCAAGGATTCCGATGATCCCAACGGATATGCCCTTTGAGTTTAAACGAATTCAATTCCCGATTCGTCTTGCCTTCGCCATGACGATCAACAAATCACAGGGCCAATCCTTGACTATTTGTGGCCTCAATCTAGAAAATGCATGTTTTTCTCATGGTCAATTGTACGTGGCATGCTCACGTGTCGGCAAACCATCCGCTTTATTTGTTCTTGCGCCTGACCAAAAAACAAAGAATGTCGTTTACCACAAAGTGCTTGAATGAAAATAAAGCCTAAATTAGTTCAGCTAAAAAGTAACACGACATTCATTGACTGTTAGGCGGTACGAAGTTTGCCGGGTCAGCTAGTATAATATAATTACTAAACAAAATTTTCCCAAATAATACCTGTATTTATATTTTTAATGCTAAAGTGAAAATTGTCTGACTTATTTCACTTTGCAAACAATTATTTGACTGACAGGTCGCTACATCAGCCCTCGAAACAAAACGAAAAAGCAATTCAAGCGGCCAAAATTTGTAGAACCCACACAAACAGTATGGGCGAATAAATGGCACACACACAAATATTATTCTATGCATACAATTATATATTTTGGTGTGTTACACGTACACACATACATGCTTGCTGTCCTTCGGCTCGTGTCACGTCATGAGCCGAACGCGGTCATTCCCAGAGCCGAACGCAATCGGCCCCACAGCCGAATACCTGGGAACGTACGCTTAAAACTCAGCTGCACCACTTTCGTTGTATGAACTGGCACATCTATATACTGTATGGTTAGTGTCCTAATCAATGGTAGTTAATTCACATAAGTGCTGTTATCTCGCTTCATAATACAGCACAATACAGCTCAGAAAGATCATTGCATTTAAACAATGAAAACAATAAACAAGCCTCATATATCTAAATAAAGATATATAGATTGTTCTTTTGACAATTTCTTTATTTGGTACGAAAAATGTTTAATTATCCTTTCGTTGCCGTCGTTGAAGTTTACGTTCCAAGTCACGCATTTTAGGCTTCTTATTATTTCCGTGGACTGAAAAGGGGAAGGCATTTTCTGTATCGGTACCTTCATTTAAATTAACAGTTTTTGTTTTAGAATCTAAAATAAAATCGTCATGGGAGTTACACAACTGTTTTCTGAAAATCGCGGCACATTGAGTAGCACGAGCTTTAGGGTGGGAAGGAGGTAACCACGAAACTTTTTGCGAGGTAGAATTGAAAAAGTAAAATGATTTACAACCAGAATCATAAACCTTTTTCCAACCTGTCTCTATTGGATATTTGCGCAGTAATCTTTTAAAACGTCGAAGATACTTTTGACTTGGCTGGGAATGTGTGCTTGTCCATCTATTAACGCAATAAAGTGAGCACTTATGCCAAACGTTGTATTTGTTGGGACAAAGTTTATAACCATGATGTGACTCCGTTACACCAATTCGTTCTTTAATACGGTGTAACCAAAACTGTTCGTCGTTTTTTTTGCGTTTGCTTTCCAATTTAGTGTCATCTCTGCATACGTAAGGGCTATTTGTATCGTCGTCATCATAGTTCTCTGCAATAATTTCTTCTATTGCTTCGGATATCGACGTTGATTCTGTAAAATATTGTTAGGTCGTTTTATAATTAGTTTTAGTTTATATATTTGTTGCTTTTTTTTAACAATTAGATGAAATGCGCCTCCACATTCGCATATACTGGTTCTATATATATTTGCATACAATACATATTAGAGCCCTGCATGAACGGCAAACCGAATCGGTTCGGAGGGATTCGGTATTCGCTTCCTTCGGTCTGTTAGTATCAGCGATTCAGATTTCTAGAATCGCTCGCCCAAAATGGACTGAACTAAGAAGGTTCCTTTTATATACCCGTACTCAAAAAGAGTACAATGTATAGAGAGTATAGAGAGTATATTGTATTTGTGGTAAAAGTGGATGTGTGTAACGAAGATAAGGAAACGTTTCCGACTCCATAAAGTATATATATTTATGATCAGCATCAATAGCCTAGTTGATATAGCCATGTCTGTCTGTCTTGTTGAGCGCCTAGATCTCAAAGGCTATAAGAGCTAGGGCAAACAAATTTTTTTCCAGACTCACACTGCTACAAGTGTATTTCAAAATTTCGCCCCGCCCCTTCCGCCCACACAAAGGACAAAATCTGTGGCAGGCACAATTTTTAAGATACGATAAAACTAAAAACGCAGTATCGTAGAGAATGACCATATCTACTAAATCAGATCGGATCATAATTATAGTCAGTATGAAGAAATTAATTTTCAGTTGCTTCCCCCGCCTCCCCAGCCAGAGACACGCTACTCATTCTCTTGCTCGCTCGCACACTCTGCCGCGTTCAGTGCGCGAGCAAGCCCCTAGTGGAGGAATGTAGAATCTAAATGGTAAACGTAGAATATACATGCTACATGTAAAATATATACATTGCAGATGTAGCAAAAAAAAATGTAAAGTGTAAAATTTATTTTTTTAATTTTTAAATTCTAAAAAATCATAAGCTCAAAAATGTATATACTGTACATATACAGTAATCAATACTGTATGTACTCAGTCAGTATTGGAGCTTATGATTTATGTGGAAATTTGATTTATTATTTATTTTATCAGATTACATATTTTTTCTACATCTGTCACGCACGAACACTTAACAAGACAGATTGTGTGCGAGCGAGAAAGAGAATTAGAATCGAATGTCTTGTTGTTTACTCTAGCAACTGAAAATTAATTTCTTCATTCTGGCTATAATCTGATCTGATCCAGATTCGGTAATCTTGTAGATATGTATGGTCAGTCTCTACGATACTGCGATTTTCGTTTTCTCATTTTCGTTGTATTTCGTTGATGACACAAATCCTGGAAGCCATAGGAAACCAGATGGCTTAGTGGTTACAGTTTTGAATGATCACTTGGGTATGAGAAAGCTTTCCGCAAGATGGCTGCCGCGTTTGCTCATAATCGTCCACAATCGAACTCGTCAAACAACTTCGAAGGAGTGTTTAACCAAAGACTCTATAACACAACAAGATGCGTAACGAGGAAGAAAAAATGTATGACAGCAGCACAATTTTAAAAGAAATCTAACTCCACACTTGCGTATGTGTGAGTGCGCTACACAAAATGTATTCTATTTTTAGAATTTCGTTGTTACTCTCGGGCATACACACACATATGTACATATGTATGTGTGCGTTCTACAATTTTTGCCGTCTAAAATTCTGACTCTGAATCCAAATTTCGTATTTCGTCAAAGCTGCACAATTCTTAATGATGAAAACGAAGTTGCTTGCGTACGAAAAGTGTGAGCCAAGTTCAATTCGCAGCGAAAGGTGATGATTTTTTTTTTAGGCGTTATCTTTATTTTAAAATCATATATGCTTAATAATGTACACCATGAATAAAACAAAATTCCAAATAAAAAATAACAACGAGAAGGAACGTGTGAGTCGCTTCTGGGGACGCGACTCTACTTATACCCGTACTCAGTCTGTATATACATTTTTGAGTTAATGATTTTTTAGAATTAAAAAAAATTTTTGCTACATCTGTTATCTACATCTACATCTACAATGTAGATTCCACATCTAACATGTAGATTGTACATGTACCATTTATATTCTACATCTCCTCCGCTAGGGGTTGCTCGCGCACTGAACGCGGCAGAGTGTGCGAGCGAGAAAGAGAATCAGTAGCGTCAGCAGCGCTGGAGAAGGAGAGGGAACCAACAGAAAATTCATTTCTTCATTCTGGCTATAATTATGATCCGATCTGATTCAGATTCGGCAATCTGGTAGATATGGTTATTTTCTACGATACTGCGTTTTTAGTTTTATCGTATCATTAAAATTGTGCCTGCCACAGATTTTCGTTCTTTATGGGGGCGGAAGGGGGCGGGGCGAAATTTTGAAATACACTTGTAGCAGTGTTATATTACATGAGTCTGGAAACAAAATTTGGTTGCTCTAGCTCTTATAGTCTCTGAGATCTAGGCGCTCATCAAGACGGACAGACGGACGGACGGACAGACGGACGGACGGACAGACGGACGGACGGACAGACGGACGGACAGACAGACATGGCTATATCGACTCGGCTATTGATGCTGATCAAGAATATATATACTTTATGGGGTCGGAAACGTTTCCTTCTCTGCGTTACACACATCCACTTTTACCACAAATCTAATATACCCCTTAACTATTTTTTGAGTACGGGTATAAATATAATAGCCACTGAAAATTAACAAAAAAATACACAATAATCAAACAAAGAAAAAAGTTATGTTATTTCAAATGAAAAAAGCAGGGGCGGGAAAAATAGGAGGGGCCCCCAAATTGATGGTTGCGACAGAACATACGAAAAAACGCACTCACACAACAAAGCGCTTAAACACGGACAAGACAACGCACACATAGAAAAAGTCTTTGGTTTAACCACAATAACGACGAGTTTTTTCACTGTTTCGTAAACGTGACTAAACCGTGGATCCACCAAATCACACCAAAAATCAAAGCAGTCGAAACAGTAGGTTCCCCAGGGTGATTCTAGGCAAAATAAGGGCAAAGTGGATTTTTCACCCCATAAAGTCATGGCGAACGTTTTTTGGAATGCTCGCGGTATTACCCACATTGACTACCTTCAGAATGGGGTAAAATGGCGAATATTATGTTGACTTATTGGATCGATTTAATGAGGATTTAAAAAAGAAACTACAGCATTTGCCAAGAAAAAAATCTTTTCCACCAGAACAATGCGAGGGCGCAGCCATGTGCAGTTTCCATTGCGAAAATCCATGAATTAGGCTACGAATTGCTCCCTCACCCACCCTATTCTCTGGATTTAGTCCTTAGAGAATATTTCTTGTTTCCAAACCTGAAAAAATGGCTCGGCGCAATGAGATTTGAGTCCAACAATGAAGTCTTCTACTAAAAAAACCTATGTCGAGGAACTCGACAAATCCTTTTTAGGGGATAACAAAATTGGGAAACTGAAAAAAGTTTATAGAGCCAAAAGGTCTCGGACTTATTGAATTTAACTGAATTTATTTAACTCTTAGAGTATGGGTATAAAAAGATCTAGAAGGTCGTCTAACTGACGCGCCCGACTTTTCAAATAAATAGAAAACGATTGTGAAGTTAACGCTAAAAACTGATTTTTTTTTTTAGAGAATCCTCTTTGGTTGAAGATTTTTAATTTTCAATCGTTCCCCGATATCTATGTGTAACAGCTTAAGGCGTCTTAGATGAGAAATAATTATGAAAGAAAAATGCAAAACTGAGTCGTTTATATAACGGATATGAGTTCGAAAATCATAACATCATCACATTTTTACCTCTCAATCGCTTTCTTATTAGATGGCATATTTACCATGCTTTTCGCATACAACTTTTTATACCCGTACTCAAAAAAGAGTTAAGGGGTATATTAGATTTGTGGTAAAAGTGGATGTGTGAAACACAGAGAAGGAAACGTTTTCGACCCCATAAAGTATATATATTCTTGATCAGCATCAATAGCCGAGTCGATAGAGCCATGTCTATCTGTCCGTCTGTCCGTCCTGTTTGACGCCTGGATCTCAGAGACTATAAGAGCAAGGGGAACCAAATTTGGTTCCAGACTCATGTGATATCCCACTGCTACAAGTGTATTTCAAAATTTCGCCCCCTTCCGCTACCAAAAAGGACGAAAATCTGTGGCAGGCACAATTTTAAAGATACGATAAAACTAAAAACGCAGTATCGTAGATAATGATCATATCTACCAGATTGCCGAATCTGAATCAGATCGGATCATAATTATAGCCAGAATGAAGAAATTCATTTTCAGTTGCTTCCCCTGCCCCTCCTGCAAACAACATCACAACTCATTTTCCCTCTCGCTCGCACACTCTGCCGCGTTCAGTGCGCGAGCTACCCATAGCGGAGGAGATGTAGAATATAAATGGAGCATGTACATTGCACAATCTACATGTTTAATGTAGAATATACATTGTAGATGTAGATAGCAGATGTAGCAAAAAATTGTAAAATGTAAAAATTTTTTTAATTCTAAAATTCTAAAAAATCATATGTTCAAAAATGTATATACTGACTGAGTACGGGTATAAGTACAGTCGCGTCCCCAAAAGCGACTTGCACGTTCCTTCTCGTTTAAACTATTTTCACTATTAAATCTGTAGATTCTCTGCAGTAGAAACAACTGCGTGTGTCTGTCTGCGTCTATCTTCCTTCCTGATGCATTTTTTTACCCACAATGAGACTGTGAATACGCTTTTTTTTGTAAGCTTTCATCCTAAGATAATTTTTCGTATGTTTTGAAAAGTCATAAGTCTCACATTTTGCTTCATTGGCCAGTTTTCTTTTAAAAATTGCACAATTCCTGCTTATTTGCTCCCCTACCATCCCAAAATTTGTAAAATTTTTTCCTTGCTATATTTCAAATCTTCTAGTTACCTTCAAGCGAGATACAGTGCATTACACAATATTTTTGTTCCTTTGCGAAAGCTTATATGCTTTCAATATCAACTGGTCGAATTAAAACCTATGTGTAATCGTTTCACAATAAAATTTGTGGAACTGTCCAG